TGAAGGGCACATCCCGGAGCAGTTGACCGCTGACGTACTCCAATAGTCTGACCCCATAGTGGTTGTCTAATGCCGTGTCTATGACCTCTTGACCTGTGGCTGGAATCGCTTCAAACGACACATATTTGCCATTGGTGTCGATCTGAGGAACCGTTACTTTAAAGCCATTGTTATACAAGTGTAACATAAATGAGTTGACGGCGTCTGTGAGAACAGCACATGAGTGATCAGTTTGAGTGATATTTTAGTTTTAATTAGTTTTAATTGTGTTATAAAATTACTAATTGTTTACCCAATAGTCCAGTTTCTGCCGACTCCTCTTTGTTGGTGATCTTCAGCACAAACTGCTTTGAATCGGTGGTCACTAAATGATAGTTCCGGTCGTCATAACCGTTGAGTTCTTTCACATTTGTCACCTCATAATTGTATAGCCGTTTGACCAGAGATTTATAGTAATCCACGTTATTTGGCGGCCGAGAAGTCATTTGCAATGCCGTTAATTAATTGCGATATTATTTATTAATTTACTTATTTATTAGTTAATAGTTTTTAAAAATATATATTAAACAAAAATGTTTTATCGCAAGATCTTTTGATAAAATTATAACCCGAAAGTACTATAACATTGATGCCTAATTGTAAAAATTAATTTATTATCAGAAATATTAATTATCAAGTTTATTTTAGGTGTACTCTGATTTAAGTGCAATCAATCCGTATTGAATTCAATGACTGTTTTGATGTGTGTTTTATTTTGTAACGATTTTTCTCATAAATTCAATGATAAATATTTGAAAAATGATAACAAATTATAATTTAAGTGAATTATCTGTAAAATCCTTGAGTTTTTGATTCAATAAACTTTTAATTAAAACTGCTTTTGATTAGTAATGCCATATATTTATGGCATATGTTTTGTCTATTTAGATGTGATTTAATCAATTAAACCGAAATTAAATGTTAAAAAATGATGAATAAGTTACAAATTCAAGTTCCAGCTAGTTCATGGATTGTTTATTTCACTTTTAACTCGTTCAAACTATGTAAAACTTGTTAAAACTAGTCTATGGTTTTTAGAATTAATTTATCAAAATTATCGACATTTAAAATAGATAAAGGTAGGCAAATACTATGAGTGTCTTTTTGTACTTTACTTTTATCACGTTTAAATAAATAAATAATTATCATTTAAGCATTATCATTAAAAATCTTACAAGATAGTTTTGAAAAATCTAATTTGCTTAAGTAATAAAAAATGGTAATAAAAAGCAACTAGATCTATTATAGTGAGTGGAATCATACATATTATTAGTTACTGTACTGTTTAGTTACTGTTTACTTGTCACTAATAACAGGTGAAGCGCCTAAAGCTATAGGTAGAGTGGGTTTGAAAGTAAGTGCGTTCACACTGTATGCTTGAAATCTACTTAAGTCAAGTAAATGGCATTTGAGGGAACAGTATGCACAACAAACATAGCTTGTGGTAACTTTGAAAAACAAGTCTAGACGTGTATCGCATACGATTGAGATCATTTAACCCACCTAGGCAAGAACTAGTGTAAGCATGGCATTAAACATGCCCCAATTCATACATAATGCTGTATTTATGTCAAATAAAACATGTTAAAAATGAGAGGGAGAGGTATGGATTGGTAGGGGACACCAATTATTAACCTAGTTGTAGGGCTGGGGTATTTGGTGGGGGCATAGAGTAAGTTTCTAAAGGTAACAGTGTATAAGTTACTTCTCATTTTATTTTATTTTTGAATAAACCATGATGCCATAAAAATACAAGCATTTACGATAGGCTAAAAGTATGCTACAGGAAATTTTTGTCGAATAAAAAGTAACTTTATCACACTTCAGCCAATCATAAATGCTTATATTTTCATGACATCATGGTTTAGTGATTAAATCATGATGAAATACGGGCTTCCAAAAGTATAAATGCAGGTGTATTTGCCATAAACTAGTCAATATTTTTGGCAAACACTTAACAATGGAGTTAAGTTGCAAAAATATTCTTATTGTACCTGGAACAATCGAAGTGACTGATTTGAATGTCACGCTAATTGACAATGATTTAATTGTAATAGTATATGCTATTACCATGTATTTGCTGTTCCAGGTACTCACCTTTGCATTAAGGTGAACACCATGTAATTAGACATGGTGCAAATGATTATTATATGAAAAAATATAAACGAAAAAAACTAAAAAAATGAAAAAAAGAAAAAAAAGTTCCCAAAAAAACTTTAAGCCAAAGCCGATGTTATGGCCCCGTATTGGCCATAAACATGTATAACACGGCTATAAAGCCCGTACTGTACACCGCA